TGAAAAACCCCATAATGCAATTTAAATTGCAAGATCCTAAAATAGTAACCATGGTTGCTTCTCTTGCTTGTTATTCCTCCCTTCCTCTCAACCAGTTAATTAATATATGTGTGTGTCGGGGGTGAAACTAATAATTTTAATTTTCTTTTAGAGTGCTTTAATCTAGCTAGGCTGGGAAAGCAATGTTGCCCACTTTTTTTATTTTTAATTCTGCATTTCCTATCTCTTAAATAAACTAAATGAACTTTGAGAATTGTTAACATGCAGCATTAAGAGTTATGTGTGCTTGTTCTGCATGGGTTTCCTTAAAAAAAGACCCAATCTTTCTGCATTAGTCTCAATTAGTTGTCCTTGTATTGAGCCTTCATATGTGAATTTTACTTCCAAAGGACAAACTTCTTACTGAAGATGTAAATACTTAACCACTAATAACACCATTAAAGGACTTTGTAGAGCTGTGACCACACACACTTTCTTTCTGTAGTTAGGATAAAAAAAACAACTGAATAGGCAGAAAATCACCTTCAAATCTGATAACATTATAAGTACTTCATGTATACTCAGGTTTTCTCTCCCTGCACAGTCATTATTGATGAAGTATCTATGGGATGCAGAACTCAAACTTGCTGTATTCCTGCTCACCTTATTTACTGTACATGACTGACAGTAATATTATTATTTTTTTCTTTCTTTCTTTCAGGTCTTGACAAAAGACTTGGGAGGCAATGCTAAGTGTTCAGAATTCACAGAGGAGATCTGCCGCCGAGTACGGGACAAAGATTAAACCTCCTCCTGCTCCTGCTGATGACTCTGGAAGGACACACCATGGAGCCCAATATATGTAACCTGATATCCACATGCATAGAGTTTGCTTATCTCTTGAGAGCAAACTTTTTAGCTGAGGCCTCTCCATTAATAAATCTAGTCCAAATGGCTACAAATGATGCTTGTGCCTGCTTTCGGTGGACTTTTCCAAGTGCTTTGTCTTATTTATTCTTTTTTTTTTTTTTATCTGGTGAACATTTTTATGTAAGTGAATTCTTTTATTGGCACTGTAACTGTCTAATATTTTCCATTTCAATTGGAGGGTTTTACTTTCCACATAGAAAAATTATGCAAACAAACCAGTAACAGAATTAGTGAAATATAAAAGCACCTTAAATGTTTAAAACCTATTTTATTGATCTTGTTGAAATTAAAAAGAATAGCACAAGATAATCTTCATACACAGAAATGGGTATAAAATAACTTAAAATAGCAATTTTATATTAGAAGCAATGAGAAAACCACTTTAGATACTCTGGTGATACATGAAATACAGCCCTGCCCATCAAAGGTATGAATTAAGAAATATAAAATTCTAGAGATTTAATCTATTTCTGTCTTTTAAAAACACCTACAACCATTATCAAGGGGTGAAAATGAGTGCTTAAGCAAAGTTATTTTTCAAATCAATATACCAAAATAATTCTTACAAGTTTTCCTCTCTGAAACACACTTTACAATTGAGTTCTAATGAGGGCAAACTATACAAAATTACTTCTGCCATATATATTGTGAGGGGACAGTATTAACTTTGCAAATTTAAGTATTTCATTAATTCAGCTAGAATGCTTTTTGTGTTGTAGTTTCTGCACAGTCTGTTCAGTGTGTCTTCCTGTATTAACTAGTAATTTTATTCTAGAAACTGAATGTAAGAGACTAGTCCTAAATGGATTAAGACAGATCAACAGTTTGACTCTGGTGCCTATGTTCCAGAAATACATTTCATCCCTATTCAAGGGGATCTGAATCTATTTTTTCCTTGCATACTAAGCTTAATGAGTGGAAAAGCAACTCACTGCCCTCCCCTCCCCAGCAGATGCAGATCGTCACTTGAGTCGTTCTGATCTGTTGATATCAAGGAATTGCTTCCATTCCTGCACCTGACAAGAAAATACCTATTTTCAAACTTGTTGGTATAGCACAGGATTATCCCTCCTGCCAGAAGCAGGCTCCTTACAGCTTCATTCTATTCATAGAAAGTAACTAAGTGGAGTAATACCTATTATGACTGTTTTGGGTTGGTTATTTCAGAAGTAAAACAACTTTGGAGTAACAACTTCTCATGTCACTCTCTAAAGTAAGCATCCCAGCTTTTTTATACAGTCTAAAACATGCTGGAAGAGCTTTATTCCTCCCACACTGCTTCTTGTGAATAGGGCAACATTTCTTTCTGTTTTACAAGCTGCTGCTTCCTTGTTTCCTTCAGATTAATGCTGTTAAAGAAATTCTGAATTACCATTGCGCACAAAATGGGGAAGAATAAACTTTTCAAAGTCCTGTNCGAGGGCGAAGGGCCGCGGGGCTTGGGCCGAATGGCGTCCCCGCGGCGCTCGCGGGTTCTCTCCTTCCTCCTCCCCGGGACGGCGGCGGGAAGGGGCCATGGGGGCCGTTACTCGAGCGGGCCGGGCCGGGCCGGGGGTGCGCCGCGCCATCCCTCGGAGCGGCCTGCGGAGAGGTCGCGCCGTAGAGGTCACAGCAGCGGCGGGACCACTGCGGCTGCGAGCAGCTCCTGGTGCGCGGGTGGCAGACAGCACAGCCTGGGAACGCCATTCCCGTAAAGAGCCCGCGGTTCCGGGCACTGCAGAGCCGGCTGGGGAAAACTGCTACCGGGCTCTGGCTGACGGCTTCCTGGCCCCCCACACCTGTCCTCTGGGATTTACAGCTCTGAACCATTATGAAACGGAGGCCTTAACCCGGGGGTGTCACGGAGATGCTTTTTTTGCCTTGAGTAAATGAAATTCCTTTTGTACCTTTAAATAACAGCCTGCTAGAGGCAAAGTCATTGAGGCCGCCCCATTTAACCTATCTGCTAAAACAAGGAAGAAGTGTCAAGAGCTAATCACGACACGTGACTTTAAGGTCAGAATGGATCAGTTTTCCTTGGGTGGATTCTTCGTTGGTGTTACTAGTGTTGAACTTCAGTATAATGTTCTAGGCCCATGATTTCTGACAACACGGACTGTGCCCTTTCCAGGGCTACTCTGGAGTATGAATCCTTATTCTATATGTAGGAACTGTACTATGAGAACACTGTCACTGTGCAGTCAGCTTCACATTTTCATTTAATTGCAATGCCTTCATTCTCAACCATATGGCCTGCTTTGGTAAACACTGCTTGCCTGTTGCAGTGACCTTGTACATCTCATGTGGGGCTACAAGTAAAAATAGATCTAGCTTAGATTACTTCTCCCCCAGCGTTCATTACAATATGCATGAGAATTATATTGTTTCTAGTTGTTTCTGTTGGTGTCGACATAGTTTATTCTTTTTTCCATTCACCATTATGTCAGTAAAGAAATAACAAATACAAATGGACAGGAGAGGAATACGAATTGCCAAAGTAATTTCTAGCCTGATAGCTGCAGACAGCCTGCATATATGAGTATGGCAGAATTGAAGCAGTGTAAGGCTCTGCAATTAGAAGTCTTCTGGCTCTTAAGTCCTAGAGGCATCAATAGAGACGCCTCCTGGAGAGGAGGCACTGGTGAGGTCACACCTGGAGTTCTGTGTCCAGTTCTGGGCCCCTCAGTTTAGGAAGGACATTGAGACACTGGAGCGTGTCCAGAGGAGGGCAGTGAGGCTGGTGAGGGGCTCGGAACACAAGCCTGTGAGGAACAGCTGAGGGAGCTGGGGTTGTTTAGCCTGGAAAAAAGGAGACTCAGAGGTGACCTTATCACTCTCTACAACCTCCTGAAAGGAGATTGTAGTCAGGTGGGGGCTGGTCTCTTTCACCAGACAACAGCCAACAGAACGAGAGGACACAGTCTCAAGCTGGGCCAAGGGAAATATAGGTTGGATATTAGGAAAAAGTTCTTCACAGAAAGAGTAATAAAATACTGGCAATGGTCTGCCTGGGGAGGTGGTGGAGTCCCCATCCCTGGATGTGTTTAAAAAAAGACTGGATATGGCACTTGGTGCCATGGTTTAGTTGAGGTATTAGGCATCGGTTGGACTCGATGATCTTGAAGGTCTCTTCCAACCTTGTGATTCTGTAAAATTGGTAGGTTGTGATTTTTCTGCAGATTAGGGATTTTATCCATGGTCTTTAGCTGGGCAAGAGCCCAAGCTTAGATACTATCCCTGTTTTGAAGCTTAATGACAGTTCAGAATACTCAGAAAATGTAATTCTTTGACTGTGATGTGTACACTTCTTGCTATGGTGAATTTTGTCTTTAATGTGCATTTCAGTTCCACTTTTAAAAAAACATCAGGCATGCAGAAGGCAACAGTACAACACCTATAGGTATAAAAGGTAGAAAAATACAGTTTGAATGGAAGAAGTGACACTAATGTAAAGTAGTTTTGGAAACATCATTTAAAATGTGTAAGGATACTGTCAACCCAACTACTACCAATGAAGTGTTTGATTTTTCACTTTGCTTTCCACATGTCTTCATCCTTAGCATATCATGTATTTAGTTAGAGTTCCTGCAGCCTTGCTTCCAATGTGATATGTGTGAGGACTGCAGGTGGGGTGCAGCAGCCCCCCAGCAGGACGGGAGCCTGGGGCAAAGCACAGCTGTCCTGGGCTCACGTTGTGCTAAGAATACCCAGGAGGCGTTGCTGCTCTGAGTGTTAGACTGCAACTTGGCAAAGCATTGGGTACTCTGGTTTCATTTGGATTTTTATACTAGTTTGAGATAGAAGATTTAAAGCTGTATGACTTTAAAAAGCAGATTTGCTGCAATATTGCTACAATTAAGCTTGTAAAATCCCATTTGTGCAGTAAAAGAGCATCTTTTTGTTTTGGATTTTTGCAGGTTTCTCGATTGCTAGGTGCTTTCAAAACCCAAAAAAAGGTGACCAGAAGTTTTGGTAATGCTGTGAGTATAATAGTCCCATTTTTTTCTTTTAAGAAGTTTCTCAATAAGTGAGTTTGGAAATTTATAAGATCACTGTTGTTATTTTTATGTTCCCAAAAAATTAGGGTCAGACAAGTGAACATGCATGCTTTTAATGTCATCCTGGATTTGTGTCAGTTAATCACTGTCAATTGTAACTGTATATCAGTGTGAGAATACAAAAGCCTCTAATAAAAACCAGAAGTGGCACGGAAAGTTTTCACAAAATATGAACATAAGCCACTTTTCTGGAATTCAAATAAGTATTGGGCAAAGTAGAAAGATTGTTGAGAAGCTTCTCATTTTCTTTCTTTTGCAGTCTTCCCTCTAAGTACTCTATTTACTTTACTGCTGCTTTTAGAATTCCTTGCATCTAAAATTCTGTCTTTTCAAGGTCCTCTTTAAACTATCTTAGACATTGTGTATTTCCCTGTAGATGTTTTTCCTTCTTCATGTGTATGTATTTGAAATGCCCATGGGCCTTTTTTTCAGTGAAGGCAGGAGCAGGGCTCAGCACTCCTAAGCAGGACTTAAAGAGGAACTGTGACTTTTCATGCTAATGATAGCAGGTACAACAGTTAGAAAAGAAACTAAAGAGTCACTTATACAGTATATAAATCAGAAGGTGAGGCATTCCTGGTACTATTGAAAACACAATAGTTTCAGGCTCAGGTGGAGCCCTGCAGTGCTGTCAGACAGCACAGCCCTACTCTTAAGGCATTTTATCAGTGACAGCTTGCTCAGCAGCAGTGTTCTTTTATATGAAACTCTTTTTTGTTGTGGACAGTGAATTTCTTTTGCTCAAAAGTTTTAAAATCAGTCAATATGTATTGAAGTTCTGCCTTGTGAGTTGATTCTGTTAGGGGTTGTTCAAATAATGTATGTGAGCTGCCTTTTTTGTAGGTAATAAATAAATGAGCCCATAAAAGCTGTTGGATCTCTTTAAATAAAACAAAATGAGCCAGAGCACTTACCCTTAGAACAGTGATCATAATTTATTTTTTTCTTCAAAGCAGAATACATTCTTCCCCTGTTATTTGTTGAGCCTGGGCTGTGCATTTTTTTATTTGTTGATGATAATGAAAGAAACAAGACTGAGGACATTATGAGAGGAAAATAAGTTTGTATTGTTAAAAATGGGTCTGAAATTTTTGGGAGGTCACTTGGGAAGTTTAGCTTGGCATGACCCTTTTTTAAAGTGTATGTAGCTTTTCATACATGTAATAATTTCTAGCATGTGTCAGTATTATGCAGCATGTTGATAATATTGTAGATGTATGTGGAACAGAGCCATAACTGGGTAATATAACTTGCTCTCCAGATTTCCAGAGGAAAGCATGCTACATTCATTAATTTCAAGGAGTACTGAGCAGGAATCTGCCTTTCATATTCACCCTTTGTTTTGAACTAGGAATAGGTAGTAACTGAATTTTTAACAATTCTCTTGAAACATTTGCACACTCCTTTGGAAAGCAAGCCAGTCCTTCTCACTTCTGTCTAGGACTGCTGTTCTTCATAGTGAATATTTGGTAAAGGAAAATTTCTTTTGTTTTCTAGTTACTTGGTTCCTACAACACATGAAGATGTTTTCTATGTAGAAACCAAACATTCATTTGTTGTACTACTGATATTTCTTTACCTAGGTACAAACAGTAACTTTAATCCCAGGAGATGGCATAGGACCAGAGATTTCTGCTGCTGTCATGAAGATCTTTGATGCTGCCAAAGTAAGTCATGTTTGTCTTGCTATAAGCATTGCAAATTTAACTACAACAACAAATGTTAATTAGGCATATTAAAAAAGCTTAAAATCTCTTTTAAGAGATTAAGTCATATTTAAGCTATTAAAACTTCTTTCCAGTAGAAAGAGTTTGAAGCTTCAGCTAATAAAAGACAGGAATGTGATAGTAAGGATGGCTTGAAACTGTTAGCTGACAGAAGAGTAGAGACTTGTGAGCAAATGCTGTGTTTAGTTTTTGGAAATACGAACTCAGTGAGTCATGTGAAATCGCCTTGTTGATGTAGTAATCCTGAGCAACTGACAGAGGATGTTCTTTCATTTATTATGACTTCAAGTGCAGGTCAAAAGTGTGTGTGAAAGGATTGGCTTATTTTAGCAATCCAACTGCTGTGCTGCCAAACATGTTAACTTCAGTGATATGAAAACTGACTGTATCCAAGAACTCTTCTCTTACCTATCTGAGAAATTTCACCAGAACTTGGCAAGTTTCCTTGAAAGGAAATACAGCTCTTCAGGCAAGATGCCTGTTAAATTGTTCCACATTAGGAACAGCACCCAGGCATGTTCTCTTTTTATTACAACTAGCCAATGTGGATTTGAAAATGTGACATTTCTTTAATTATGTTGTATCTTTTCCTTTGTGATCTTACCTGATGAAATGAATGGGTGGCAGCCTGTCTCTGCTTCTGATAGTTCTGTGGTGAATGCAAATTCAGAAAGCATTGTGGAGCATGTGCAGATTTTCACTGAGATAACAGATACACATCAATGTATAAACACAATCTTCCAGGCAGTGGGAATGACAAGTTCTCAATGAATTCGGCTTTAAAATGTTGTCTCTTGTATACAAGGAACTCAACAGCTCTAAAACCTCTAAAGAAATAGCACTTGTGTATATGACACCTAGGGTGGCATTCTGGTATTCAGTTTATGAGGATTTACTGCTCACACTATTTTATTTCCACTTAATTATGTTTTTCAGAAATTACTTTAGTTCAAACATCTCATGCTTACCCTCACTCACCAGAAAAAATACTTTTTGGAAAGGCCTGGACAAAATTCCTTACACACCTTTTTGTGAAAGTCATGACATTAATCTTAACATAGAATGTGTATATTTAGGCACCTATTCAATGGGAAGAGAGGAATGTTACAGCTATCCAAGGACCAGGAGGGAAGTGGATGATACCCCCAGAAGCCAAAGAATCCATGGATAAAAACAAAATGGGATTAAAAGGTATTCTAGGGGTTAATACACAGATATTAAATACTGTCGTGTTTATCATGAGTTTGATGTAAAGCCAAAGTTTTTCCTCTGTAGCACAATAAAATGAGTAATTATAGGGGACAGCCTGTCAGGTAATTGTCTGAATCTTGGACCAGTCCTTCATTTCCAAGCCATAGCTTTGATAGTTGTTGTAGTTGAAGGTGAGTACATTTGGACTCTCTGCAGAAGGCATTTCTAAGATAAACAACAGTATGCAATAACTACATTACTAATGAGCAGTATAGATCTGTTCCATATATGGCTTGCAACTTGGCCTTTACTCAGCTGATTAATGTGTCTGTGCAGAAGTTGACAGAACAGAGAATTCCCATGGCATTCTACCATAAGGGTTAAACAGGAATTTGGAGATCCTCTGTAGGAGTCCCACTTGACCTAGAGTTTCAGCTCTCAGATCCACAGAGGGGTTTATTTTCTTGTTCCTTTAGCTGTTCACACTATTTCATTTCCACTTAATTACATTTTTCAAAAATTACAGCTTGTTCCTTTGTTTTCTTCAATCCTTGTATCTTTTTTTTTTTCTCCAGGGCCTCTGAAGACCCCAATTGCTGCAGGGCACCCGTCGATGAATTTGCTGCTGCGTAAAACCTTTGACCTTTATGCCAACGTGCGTCCGTGCGTGTCCATCGAGGGCTACAAAACCCCCTACACAGACGTGAACATCGTCACCATCCGTGAGAACACCGAGGGCGAGTACAGCGGCATCGAGCATGTGGTGGGTGCTCACCTGCTGCCTTCTGCTGTCCTGCTGCTTCAGCACTGCTAACTTAGCCTGTCTCACTGGGCTTCAGTGAGAATTTTTACCTTTGGCACTCATAAAAAAGTTCCTCTATCGTGAAATGCATTCTGTCTCACCCAGAATTCTGCTGCTCGGTTCCAAATGGGAAGAATGAACTTGCACTGCTGATACACTTCCTGTCTTTCAGATTGTTGATGGGGTTGTGCAAAGCATCAAGCTGATCACAGAGGAAGCCAGCAAGCGCATTGCAGAGTTTGCTTTTGAATATGCCAGAAACAATCAGAGAAGCCACGTGACTGCTGTGCACAAGGCAAATATTATGTATGTTGACACTTCTTTTGAGAAAAGCAAAACGAAACAAAAAAATCCCCAAACATTTCTTTATAAAGAACTGCTTAAGTTTTATTCAAACATGGAACTTCTGTTGATGGCACTGGGAGTCAGTAAAATGGCAAAAAAGTCAAGTAAATGCCTCCTAAGTAAAATACAGGGCTGAGATAACTGTGTACCAATGTTCTTATTAGCAAGTTTGTATATCCTTCCTTCCAAAGCTCTTATTTTAGAAACTTTTAAACAAAGAAAATTATTTTAGAAGCTGACGATTAATGTGCCTGGTGTCCTTTGCTTCCACACCACTTTATACTGAACTGAGTCATAACATGTGTGATATTATGTGACATCACCTTCACAAATTCACTGAGCCTTTCATAAATGAATACAACTCATTCTGAGTATGCTATTTAAACCACTGATACAAAAATATTTTAGGAGGGATAAATAGTCACAAATTAAGTTTCTGAATTCTAATTAAACCCCTGTTGCATGCAGTTTTCTTTATCTCCAGTACTGCTTCCTTACAATAACTGCAATATTCTCTTGCTTATCTAATTGCAGGAGAATGTCTGATGGGCTTTTCTTGAGAAAATGCAGGGAGGCAGCAGAAAACTGTAAAGATATTAAATTTAATGAAATGTATCTGGATACTGTATGTCTGAATGTGAGTATTTATGTTTTAGTTGTGGATTTATTTTTTTTTTTAGTTTAAATTCTTAACCTGAATGAAAATATACTTCCTTCCAGATGGTTCAGGATCCATCTCAATTTGATGTGCTTGTTATGCCAAACTTGTACGGTGACATCCTCAGGTATGGAGATTTTAATTTAAATTCCCAACATGTAAAATACTGATACTTTTCCTGACACAATCATTGAGGTCACATGCATGCCAGATGGGTGAATATCTTGTGCATTCAGACTTCTTAACAGACATTAACTGCTTCAATTATTAATATACTGATGGGAGAGGCTATATGATGAGATTGTATTTTTTATTTTGAAAAATCTGTTTCTGCTTATGGAGGTTATGAATATTGGTCAGATGGGACAGAGAGAAATTTCTCCAAATGCCTGAAGAATATAATGGCTTACATTGTAATAGAGAATGAATGCCTGGTTAGATATTAGAGAAAAACTTTCTCATCCTCAGCACTAAAACAGGTTGTTTAGGGTGACTGTGGGACCATGATGTACACAGGGAGCTCATCATACAGTTAAATCAGTCTACATAGTCACTGAAGAACAAAATGTGTGCCCTTTTAATATTCTGCCAGCTCTTGGTTTATGTATTACTTTTCCTTACATTCAAGTTAAATTTTATATTTGAAGAACATCAATACTAGAGGTTCTTTGTGTCTTGAAGGCAAAACCCATCAGCATACATTTTCCATTCTGTAAAATTATTAGGTAGAATGTAAATTCCATTAAACACCTGAAAAATTAAGTGTTTTAATCTGAACTATTAAGTATATTATGTAACATGGTTTCTTCTCACACCTCTAAGGAGAGATTGAGAAAAGAGCCTGAACTGGAATTTTTATTTACATGTTCGACTATTCACATCTTAGAATCCATCTCCTGGTTTTGTACAGATGATAAATTTAAAGGTAACTTTTGTATAAAAAGAAGAAATGATTCTTAAGCTTCTCTTAGAGCAGCACTCTCTGTGATAAGGCTGTGCACACTAAGAAAAATCAGATTCTAACTAATGCTTCTTGCTTTTAGAATTGGTGAAGGCGTGCACAGGCAGCTCTTACACTGTTAACGAAGATCAAATCAGAGGAGTCTCATCATCAATAGCATTTCACAGAGTTCATTATCACCCATTTTAAAGTTCTCATAGAAATTCTGTAAAAAATTTCATCATTCTAAAACTTTTCAATAAATTTGAGTCTGCTCTTGAAGAGGGCACTGTCACCACTGGGTAACATCTCACCTGCTGCTCTACAAGTATGAACAAAATGCCAAGCAGGTTCCTTAGACTGCATAGGTCTGAATAGGCAGAAGACATTCTCTTCTCTAAGCATTAAATACTTAGAGTGACAAATGCAGACTATTCAGTTTTTCCCTAGGCTCTATGCAATTTAAGTGGTTTATTTTAGCTTAAAATATTGTACTGCCAGGTCATCCAAACTTTTCTCCTTGTTAGTCCTAAGCTAAGGACTAGCTTAGCTTAGTATGAGCCAGGGTGTAAGCAATAATTATGTATGGATGTGAAAAAAACAGTTTTAAGAGCTTTGTTCACCTGTGTGTTCAGCCCAGAGAGTACAGTATGATGACAACAGGCACAGCTGGTTTGTCCTTCCCCATGTTAATTTTGGTGGAAACCAAATGCAGATTGCTTATATCTGATGATCTGCTACTGTCAGACTTGTGACCTGCAGACTGTTCATTAAAGAGAGGGAGAAAGTTAGTCTGGTGTGACTTGGAAAATGTTCCTTAAGCTGCACACTACAAAACCACCAGTAACTTGCCTACCTGGGCAAAATTCCTCCACATTTTTTAGAAGGAATTTACATATGAAAAGTAGTTCTGGGCACCTTCAGAGAAAGTAAGATTTTTGTATAGTTACAGGGAACTACATAAAAATTAGTTTTTCAGACTTCTACACATATTCTGTGCTTCTAGTACTTCTCATTGTGCCTGTCTTACCAGCTTTATTCTAGTATTTGGAATTTCCTTTTTATTTTCCTTTATTACATCATCTTCTGCTGTAGTTTTAAGAATTTTCCAATGTTCTAGTGGGGTGGCTAACAGCATCTGTTCTTTCTCCATATTATTCTCAGACTGTGCAGGTGTATAAATTAAGTTACATTTTATTGATAAACAAAATTTATACATTTATATTGATAAACAAAAATGTTTTAATACCTTGCAGAGTGGCAACTATGTATGGAAAACCTGGTGGATTGTTTAATTTGGTGGTTGGGTTTTTTTCAGTGACTTGTGTGCTGGACTCATCGGGGGTCTTGGAGTAACACCCAGTGGAAACATTGGTGCCAACGGAGTGGCCATTTTTGAATCGGTAAGTCTTGTTACACAAGGCAGAGCAGTAATAACTTTGTCTCCACTCCAGAGTCTAAATTTTTCCATGCTATACAATGTGGCTGACATTTATCTAACCAAGTTCTTTGCAGAACTTTTTACTGTGAAGATGCTCAAGCTTTACCCTGAGAGACTGGTTAAAGTAAATATTCCATGTAGGTTTTTTGCACATCCTTTTTTTGACTGATACTTTATTTTCCAACTTTTTCATATGATAAATACTCTCTATGGAGTAGAACTTGATGGGCACAATTTAAAGATATTAGATGACCTAGTTTTCCCTTTCTGACATCTTTGGACTGAATTGTTTTGGTCCTTGGTATGTCCTGACTGTACCACAGCAAAGTCCTGTTTTAACATGAAGACCTGTGGTTCAGGCTGCTTGCAAAACTGCCTAGGACATTTTAATCAGCCTAGTAACATTATAACAGATAGGTTTACTCTCATTTCTAGGTTCATGGAACAGCACCAGACATTGCAGGAAAAGACATGGCAAATCCAACTGCCCTCCTTCTGAGTGCTGTGATGATGCTGCGCCACATGGGAATGCACAAACATGCCACAAAGATTGAGTCAGCTTGCTTCGATACAATTAAAGATGGAAAGGTAACATGAGGGTGTGCAAATAAATACAGTGAATTCAAATCATATTGTATCAAAGCAAGAATTAACTTGGAAGATTCACACCAGAGTGGGGGATGCCTGCTGAGCTGGCCTGTTGCATGAGCAATGCCACTGTCCTTCTCTGACAGTAATTATATTATCTTTGATGATATTGTATCTGCCCAGCACAGTAATAAGGGAACAGGCTGTAGCATTCCTTTTGTTTCAGCAATGCTCATCTTACATTTCCACAGCTTTATGAACTCCAGAACAGTGAACTGGATGGCTGTTTTTCAGGAAGGGAATCAGAGTTTTAAGTAACTCTTAGCATTTCACTTAGGAAGTTTATGAAATGTACAAAGCATATATATTGAAATCTGGAATCAGAAGTGAAGGACAATCATTTGCCTTTCACACCCTTCATCAACCACTTTTTTATAGCATTTCAGTCCTGACTAATACTTCTGGTTTTTCAGCTCAGTTATTTTCTTTTTTCATTCCTACTGCTTTCAGTCATTCTTTGACTACAAAAGGACAGTTTTTTAACTGTTCTTTTGTAGTCAAAAAAATAACTTTTTTCTCTAAGGGTTATATAAGTTTCTCTTTGGTAGTGAGCGTCTTCAGATTCATGACTCAAATGGGATACTAGGGGAGAAGGGGCTTATGATCTGAAACTTGATAAATTTGTGGTCTTACCATTATTGGTTCACTCCTCTACATTGATGTTCATCTCTTGAAAACATAGTTGGAAAGATCTTGAAGACGGAAATTAAAGAGGATTAGCAACTAGTCATGCTGGTTCATTTATCTTAGGACCATGAGAAGCTGCTTTGTAATTGAAAGTAACAAGAATGCTGAAACAAAAAGCTGTCAATAGTTTTGTAAGTTTGCAGCTATCTTGCTGTGTGTAGGAGCCAGTAAAAAATCTAAACTTACAACTGAATAAAGAGGTGCTCCTGTAAAGTTCCCATTTACTGCTCTGGAAATGAAATCCTCCATCTTCAGGTCAGTAATTCCATGGAAGAGAATAATGCAACTTTTGTCACATGGTTACTTGTTTACTAGTTACTTATAACGTTACAATTATATGCTCACAATGGAGAGAATATTTTTAATTGAAAAACCCCATAATGCAATTTAAATTGCAAGATCCTAAAATAGTAACCATGGTTGCTTCTCTTGCTTGTTATTCCTCCCTTCCTCTCAACCAGTTAATTAATATATGTGTGTGTCAGGGGTGAAACTAATAATTTTAATTTTCTTTTAGAGTGCTTTAATCTAGCTAGGCTGGGAAAGCAATGTTGCCCACTTTTTTTATTTTTAATTCTGCATTTCCTATCTCTTAAATAAACTAAATGAACTTTGAGAATTGTTAACATGCAGCATTAAGAGTTATGTGTGCTTGTTCTGCATGGGTTTCCTTAAAAAAAGACCCAATCTTTCTGCATTAGTCTCAATTAGTTGTCCTTGTATTGAGCCTTCATATGTGAATTTTACTTCCAAAGGACAAACTTCTTACTGAAGATGTAAATACTTAACCATTAATAACACCATTAAAGGACTTTGTAGAGCTGTGACCACACACACTTTCTTTCTGTAGTTAGGATAAAAAAAACAACTGAATAGGCAGAAAATCACCTTCAAATCTGATAACATTATAAGTACTTCATGTATACTCAGGTTTTCTCTCCCTGCACAGAGGAGATCTGCCGCCGAGTACGGGACAAAGATTAAACCTCCTCCTGCTCCTGCTGATGACTCTGGAAGGACACACCATGGAGCCCAATATATGTAACCTGATATCCACATGCATAGAGTTTGCTTATCTCTTGAGAGCAAACTTTTTAGCTGAGGCCTCTCCATTAATAAATCTAGTCCAAATGGCTACAAATGATGCTTGTGCCTGCTTTCGGTGGACTTTTCCAAGTGCTTTGTCTTATTTATTCTTTTTTTTTTTTTATCTGGTGAACATTTTTATGTAAGTGAATTCTTTTATTGGCACTGTAACTGTCTAATATTTTCCATTTCAATTGGAGGGTTTTACTTTCCACATAGAAAAATTATGCAAACAAACCAGTAACAGAATTAGTGAAATATAAAAGCACCTTAAATGTTTAAAACCTATTTTATTGATCTTGTTGAAATTAAAAAGAATAGCACAAGATAATCTTCATACACAGAAATGGGTATAAAATAACTTAAAATAGCAATTTTATATTAGAAGCAATGAGAAAACCACTTTAGATACTCTGGTGATACATGAAATACAGCCCTGCCCATCAAAGGTATGAATTAAGAAATATAAAATTCTAGAGATTTAATCTATTTCTGTCTTTTAAAAACACCTACAACCATTATCAAGGGGTGAAAATGAGTGCTTAAGCAAAGTTATTTTTCAAATCAATATACCAAAATAATTCTTACAAGTTTTCCTCTCTGAAACACACTTTACAATTGAGTTCTAATGAGGGCAAACTATACAAAATTACTTCTGCCATATATATTGTGAGGGGACAGTATTAACTTTGCAAATTTAAGTATTTCATTAATTCAGCTAGAATGCTTTTTGTGTTGTAGTTTCTGCACAGTCTGTTCAGTGTGTCTTCCTGTATTAACTAGTAATTTTATTCTAGAAACTGAATGTAAGAGACTAGTCCTAAATGGATTAAGACAGATCAACAGTTTGACTCTGGTGCCTATGTTCCAGAAATACATTTCATCCCTATTCAAGGGGATCTGAATCTATTTTTTCCTTGCATACTAAGCTTAATGAGTGGAAAAGCAACTCACTGCCCTCCCCTCCCCAGCAGATGCAGATCGTCACTTGAGTCGTTCTGATCTGTTGATATCAAGGAATTGCTTCCATTCCTGCACCTGACAAGAAAATACCTATTTTCAAACTTGTTGGTATAGCACAGGATTATCCCTCCTGCCAGAAGCAGGCTCCTTACAGCTTCATTCTATTCATAGAAAGTAACTAAGTGGAGTAATACCTATTATGACTGTTTTGGGTTGGTTATTTCAGAAGTAAAACAACTTTGGAGTAACAACTTCTCATGTCACTCTCTAAAGTAAGCATCCCAGCTTTTTTATACAGTCTAAAACATGCTGGAAGAGCTTTATTCCTCCCACACTGCTTCTTGTGAATAGGGCAACATTTCTTTCTGTTTTACAAGCTGCTGCTTCCTTGTTTCCTTCAGATTAATGCTGTTAAAGAAATTCTGAATTACCATTGCGCACAAAATGGGGAAGAATAAACTTTTCAAAGTCCTGTTGCTCATTTTGTTTTTATAATCCTAGGCTGCTGCTTTGTCTTATGTATGGAGCTGATTATTGTTATTTGCAACAAATCTTACATCTGTAAGATGTATGAGACTGGTAATGGAACTTTTATGGAAATCTTATCCTGTTGTGCATCATTTTTTTGTCTCAATAATGGGCTGTGGCTGCCTGCCTGTGTGAGCTACTCGAGCTGTCTGCCAGAGATCACTTACAGCACACCCTTTAGACAACTTCATACCAAGCACTTCCTTCTCATAATATGATTTGTTTTGCATATGGATAGGAAGAAATGCAGCACTCATTTGTCAGAATTAGTACAATATGAATACTGAAACATGCAGATACACTGACAAGCACTGTAAGCAATTTTACAGAAGTTTCTGTAATAGCATTTTAATGTGAGAGCTCCTGTAGTTCTTTGTGCCTTTCAGTTTTAGGGAGCTATTCCCCTGCTTTTTCTGATTATTTGTTTTTATGAGAAATAGTAATGCTTATTCCAGCATGGACTTAAGAAGTGAATTAATTATCACTGGAGTGGTATGACAGTTTCATTAGGCAGTACTGCTGTCTGGCAAAATATATCATGAGCTACAGGAAACATCCAGTAGAACTAAAGAGAAAAAAGGAAAATGGAAGACTGTATAAAAAAACTTTGTTTCAACCTAGAGGAGTTAGTTATATCTGCTTTATACAACACAGAAGAATGTTTTAGTCATTCAGGTCATAAAGTAAAAGCAGTAATAGAGAATGGACACTGTAGATGCTTCTGTAAAAAGAGGACAAATGATCAGGTGAGTATCAGGAACAACTAAACTGACAGCAGCTTTCTATTGGTTTGGTTCAATAGACTACTCAAACTCAAAGAATAAATCTTTGTTAATGCTTTTGATGAGAAAATACTTCCTTTTCCTCACAGATTTTTCTTAATGCTTGGAGAAACACTTTTTATTCTTTATAGAAGGAGTCTACTTCACTTTGGTATTTCTCGAGCACAGCAAGCCGCTTCAGCTTCATTGTAGGACCTTAAAAGAGGGAGAATCAATTCCAGAAATAGGAACAAAAAATCATACTCAGTTTTTTGAGCTTTGGTGCATAAGTTTCTTATTGAAGAGCCTGTTGGGAAGAACATGCCCCCCTCTAAAGCACAGATAAATGCTAAAAGTGAGAAGCAAGTGTGATCTGTGAGATTGCATCCACATAAGCATGAGGACTTCAAAGGGAGCTGCAGATAAGGGTGGTAACTGGCTACTGTTTTCATAAAAATACATTTTTGAAAGCTTTTAAACTATTCCCAGTTTATTCAAAGAGCCTGGTAATGTGCTTTGGGCTCCATTATCAGGCTTTCACTATCTTGCCTCTTTTGTTTGTTCTCTTTTAAAGAGAAACTTTTGATGCCTTAAGTTTTAGCTTTTATATTTTCCAGATCAGTACTGCTTTAGTGTATAACTCTCAAACTCCATAGCCTGTCAGCTACTGTTCTCCTGTTTTATTGAAAAAAAAAAAAATTCTCTCTAGGCCTGAAACCCAAAGTCACCTTATTTTCACAGGCCCCAAAAAATGTAAACTCCAGAGAAGCAGGGCAGGCAAACTGGGGGAATGAGACTCCACTACCTGAAGCTGTAATTGAACCTCTGATATGCAAATGGGCCAAATTGACATCTGTCCAAAAAGTGTGATAGTGGTCCTTTTTGGGTGTAGTCTCTGCACAACTCCTGCACTGCCCAAGGTGTACCTTGTGAAGGCCTTTCAATAAATACCTTTCTCTTTTAACTCTGTCTAGCCTCTGTTCTAGCCATTCCAGGCATCACTTACACTATTATTACTGGAAGTTATTAATACACAATTATTAATGCACAAGGAATTAATCAAAATTGCTTAATTACCTAAAGCAATCTGTAATTTAAGAACTCTACTTGCAAATGAGCACAGATTCATAAATGTGTGGACAGCAAAAACTCCAATTTTTGTATTCCTTACCACACACTGCATAACCATTTTTACTTTCCCTATACTGAATATTCTTAGATCAGCAGCCTCTTAACTTCGTGTACCTCAAGATAAATCAGTAAGTCTTACCTAGTTCTCCACCAGAAATGGAAAAATCTCTTGGCAGGATGATCCATTTCTGAATGCAGTGAACCCTGTTGGTAGCAGTGCTGTTGACTCTGTTGATTCCCTCCTGGATGGCCCTGTAGATCGCCTGGTCTCTCGTAGCTACAATCTCAGACACTTTGGTGGCTTTACTGCCAATCCTCTGGCAGAAGTCTCTGGCTTGCTCTGTGAGAATGTCAGTAGGATCTGATGTATCTGGGTCCAGCACACTCTAAAATATCAAATGAAGTGAATAATGAAATGCTCATTCTTAAAAGGCATTAACAGGTTTGCTGCCCAGGCCCTTCCCCCTTGGGTAGAAGGCTCAGGATAAACACACAAATATTTGATGTATCTTAAAAAGCAGAAACACCTACAGATCATAAAGGGCTTTTCTTTCCACTTGGCAACCAAATGCAAATATTTTCAGCTTATATGCAGATGCCATGAACAGACTTAAAACATGTGAATTAATTAGTCCATAGAGTCCATCTCTGACCTTGAATTTCTACCATATTTTCCAAATGATTCCATTGTTACAGGGAAACATTTAGCTCATCATTCAGTGGAATAATAATGGTGTAATGTAAACAGCCTGAGATAGAAGTGTTCTTAGACTTTTTAAACTAGTATTTCTATTGTACCTGAAGATAGGGAGTATCAATCATAGAGGTAAACAACTTGAAAACACCTCAGTGGCATTCACTAGGTATGTCCACAGAACTGAAGTTTTAGGAAAACAGAACTGATGTTTTAGGAAAACAGTGATTTCTCAATTGAAGCTTATACCACAGCAAGGCTATTAATTATTTTGTTCCACAGTCATCATTCTTGTGTTATAAAAATAACAAATTGGAGAGAAATGTTTCTGTTGGAAAGTTTCCAGGTTTGCCCATAACAGAAATATTGGTTTGTTTTGCTCATCTGTAAGCGTAAAAACTATTGTTGTGTTCTGTTCCAGAAACTTCTCGATCTTCCAGCATTTCTAATATTAAAATTTGCATTTAAATAGAAAATAGCTCTTATTGTATATGTAGGAGAAACAGCAGTAAATATGTGGATTTTTAGCAGATCAGGTAACCCTAAGTTTAGACCCAGCAGGATTTGTCTGTAGTTGTTTCATGTTTTTTCCTCCTGCTAACATCCTCCTATCTAATTTTAGTTCTTTTTTATAAATGATTCAAAATTATTATTCTTTTGTTAGGTGCAGGCGTATAACTTCACTGAAGGCAGTAATAAAACTGGTTTACCTTTAGGGTCAGGAACATTGACAAAAACTTCTTCTTATCTCCAATGACCATAGCATTACTAACAATTGGGAGTTCTTTTTTAACAGCATCTTCAATTGCAATTGGAGGCACGTTTTCACCTCCAGCTGTAATAATCAAATCTAGGCAAAAAAAGAAAGGTTATTAGTTGAAT